TTTGAAAATCAATCCAAAATATATGAGTTTGAAAGAAGCTCCTGTTTTAAGTAAACAGTTAAACAAAGGGGAGCTATTGTGAAATTCTAATGTGTCAGTTGAAAAAGTCATCAGAGAAACTTTCTTCAAGATCCACATCATCAGGGAAAGAAAACAGCTTTTGAAACAAGTAATTATTAAAAGGGCAAAACCCAAAAAACCCTTTTGCTATTCTATTCTCATCGTTTTAGTCTCAATACCATCTTGAATAGAAGAGCAGAATAAAGCAGAGCTGCAGTTGCATGGTAAATTAGGCAGTCTTCAGTTCTACATTATGTTCAAGAACAGAAGTCTAGGAAGTCCAAGTAATGAAGGGTTAGCAAACAGCTTGCAGAATCCATAGCCTCCACAAAGTTGGACTTAACTTGCTGCCTCCTTCCTGCTTGTTGTTTTGAAAGTTACTATTTTAGGTTCCAACATGAATTTAGTAGGAGATAGGCAGGTTTCCCAATATAGATGTGGTCAGTGCACCTTTCTGTAAAAACCTATGTAGGAATTTGTTTCTTTTCTGAGAATTGCAGTCAGATTTGTTTGATGTTCAACTTTGACATCTAACAAGCTACTGATAAATCTGTTTTTAAAAATATGACTGGTTAAATGTAGCTAAGGATGAAAAATTTTAATTGCATGAACTGGAAAACTCTTCAGTTTAGTAGTAATAATTTGATCACATATATTGTTCTGCAAAACAGAGCAAAAGTGCTGGATAGAAAGTAGAGAATTCATAGGAATAAAGAATTTGTGTAGCATATGTGACCATTTCAGGCCTCTCAGTAGAGGATTTGAGAACTGTTTCTGTGATCATTAATATGTAAAGTGGGTTTTAGAGGTATTAGAATATAACCTAACAAGACCGAGATAGTGTTGTTTATATATCCTTAAACTATATTTGGAATATAGCTGTAAATACGAAAGTGGAGGGGTTGTGAAAAATACTTTACTTAATCAACAGGGAAATCTGAACCCAACTTAAGACACTTGGACTGTACCTTTCTCTGTGTGCATAGCCAATTTCATTTTTATCTTAAGAAGATCTTTTTAACCCGATGTTACTCATTCTTTATTTACTTGTTGACTATATAACAGCATCATAGAAAAAAGACAGTTATATTAATCACTCATCCTTGTTGTATTAACATTTTTGCTGAAACTAGGCTTCCTTCAGATCCATTTTACACATTTTAAAATTAAAAACTGACTTTTCTGAATGTGCATTAAGCTATAACAGCAGTACAGAATGGAAAAATACTAAAATACTGTTTTGTAGAAGCTATTTTCTTTTGTCCATAATGAATGCTCTCTGGTTCTCCTTATTGATCTGCTGGCAGTCTAGCAATCATTTTTTTTATCCTTGTTAACGAGTTTGAAATGAAATTACTTTGTGTAAGTCATTCACCTCTTGTATCACAAAATTAGATAGGTCTGTAGGATTTATAATACTGAGACTTTTTTTAGCATTTCGTAGCATTTTAGCATTTAGATTAAACAGTAAAGGCAATAGCAAAATTATGCTCTTCTCTCAGAAGCTGAGGGGAGGAGTAGAATTAATTTTTAATTTGTCTTGGCCTCAGACAGTTCTTCTAAGACTTAGCTTCATTCTTGTGTCTTTCTTGACAAATATAAATACTCAGGGGAAAAAAAGAAGCAGATTGTCTTAAATCTTCCAAACGGATAACAACCCATCTGTCTTCAAGTCCAAGGTGTCACATTCCAGTCTGTAAAGCTGGAATTCTCAGGGACTACTGTACCAGTGTCTCTTTACCTTGGTGCAAGGAGGAGGTTTGAGGTTGACTGTTGTGTGACCTTCAGTGCTCGAATGCTGTTGGTTCCACGTCACTTCCACAACATGCCAGAATAAAGGAGGAGCTTAAGACAATTTGCTTTTGTTTGAGGAAGAAGGCACTTCTCCATCTCCAGACATTTTGATGTCTTTGCTTTTTTTTCTTGTCAGTGTTCCCTAAATTTTTTTCTCCACTGTTTTCTGCTACATATTGATTTTCATTAATAATCTCAGGCAGAACTGCCCTGACTTGCAGGTATGCAGGATGCAGATAAACACATTGCATTTTCTTACAGCCCAGAGTACTGTTATTTCTACTCTTCCATTTTTTCCCCCAGTGTCTCCCAGTTCCCTTTTCCTGTAGATAATGGCAAGTTTTCTGTAGTAATAAATGTAGAAAAATAATTATAATCAATTTTTTACCCAGTGCTGGCATTGATTTTGTCTTTGCTTTTCAGAATTTACTATTTACAGATGAAACTGATAATTCAGAAATAAAAATAATTGATTTTGGCTTTGCTCGTTTAAAACCACCTGATAATCAGCCTCTGAAGACTCCATGTTTTACTCTTCATTATGCTGCCCCAGAGCTCTTGAATCACAATGGTTATGACGAGTCTTGTGATCTGTGGAGTTTGGGAGTCATTTTGGTAAGTGAGGTTTTTAACTGTAACTTTATTGCTTGTATTTATTTTTTGTTAAAATGGAAAGGATATGACATGATTTCAGACATAAATTGGGTACCTGCCAAATTCAAGCGAGGTGAAAATATTACTGCAAAAATAATAGGTTCCAGGGACAGATCTTTTCCAGGGGTGAAGATTTTTTAAGTAGCAAATTAGATTTAACAGTTTTGAGAATGGAAAAGTTACTTGATACAGTCCAGTTCTCAAAAAGAGATATTCTTGTTAGGAGATTTTACAGGCATCCATGTAATCTTTTTACAGTTTCAGTTCAGAGAAGGAATCAATCTGCATCCTGATTGACAGAAAATTAATTACAGTAGATATAAGTGGGATAGAAATATGTATTGTTCATAGCTTCTTGAAACATACAAGTGTTTTTTCTAATAAGGACTCCAGAGAAAATCTTGCAAATTTTAAGTTTTCTATAGCCTTGAAGTTATGCCAGTCCAGGTTTTATTGCATAGCTCTGGTGATGCAAACAACAGCCCTCCATATCTAGTAATAGCGTTGTCCATAAACATACTGTGTTTGTTAATGCTGCTTTTGTTGTCATGACAGTACACAATGCTATCAGGACAGGTACCATTTCAGTCTCAAGACAGAAGTTTAACATGTACCAGTGCATTGGAAATTATGAAGAAAATTAAAAAGGGAGAATTTTCCTTTGAAGGAGAAGCTTGGAAAAATGTTTCTGAAGAGGCTAAAGAGCTCATTCGAGGTATGTATTCACAAGTACTTCATGTACCTTGTATTTCTGTCTCCAAAGGTAAAATTAGAGAACCATACAATATCTGGTTGCTGGAATCAGCAGCAGAATGTCAACTTGTCAGAGCAGTATCCAGAGCTTCAGCTGTGTCCTAACCCCTAATGAAAACTATGGGTTGAGGGGGACACATCAGAATGCACTGCAAATTGCTTGTACACCTACCAGAGCTTTCTAATGTGATGAGATGCTGATAGGAAGATAAGTAGGGTTAGAAGGAACTGGAGAGCTTCAGAAAAAGTGAACTCACTGTTTAAAAACATATTTAAAAGCAGAGTTTTTCTTTTATGTTATTTTTGCTTTTCTAAAAAACCAAAACAGCTTATGAGATAATTGTCTTAAAAGCTGAGCTTTTGCAGTAAGTTAATTTATTACTGTATTTTTTCCTTTGCTTATTTTTTAATTCAGGTGCCCAGAGTATTTACTGTATTTCTGAGCTGCTTCATTCACATTTGCCATGCTTTTGGTTCCCCATTAGCTTTTGAGCATCTAATTATGTTTTCAGCATGAGCTGGACACCAGTCCTAATTCTACTTAGATGGGGTTCTGAATTTCTGTAAAAGTAGGCTTGTAAGGAATTTTTCCTGCCAAAAATGTAGGGATTTCCAGATTCAGACTTCAGTGGAGTGTTCAGGGAATCTGATGCTTACTCTCGCCAGCTTTAAAGTGAAGAAATCATTTGGTAGTTCTGAGTTGATGTGAAAAGAGATGCGACTTATCAAAGAGTTCAATATCAGTTTCCTGTGTTTAATGATTCTTCTGGAGAGGATGATAGTCTAACATTGTGTGAGCCTTATCTAGGATAAATATTGGCATACCTAGGACAAATATTGACGTTAGTTACTTATCAAAGCAATGTATGAGATTTTCTTAATAAATATTTGCATTTTCTATTAAATGAAGATAAACAGATCACAGTTCAAAAGAATGTAATATGTTTCTATTAGGACTTCTAACAGTGGATCCAAACAAAAGAATTAAAATGTCCAGCCTGAGATACAATGAATGGCTTCAGGATGGCAGCCAGCTGTCATCCAACCCTCTAATGACTCCTGATAACTTAGGCTCTTCAGGAGCTGCAGTGCACACATATGTCAAAGCCACTTTTCATGTAAGTTCTAAGAAATTTTATGTCATATGCTATATTTTCTAATGTGTAATCTGGATTCATGTATGTTTGCTCTTAATAACAGGACATCTGTCCTTAAAATTCAGTGTTTGCTTATAGCTGATTTTTTTTCCATGATATGTAACATCTCTGGAGTCCATGAAAATATAAATGATGAAGCAAAAATAAATTTCTTGAAGATATTTATATTCATGAGGACCCGGGGACTGAGGACAGCTGTTCACGAAAGAGCTATTAAAAATATTTTGTTTCTAAGAGAAATCTATTAAAAGGTCTTCAAACTTTTATGAAAAAAGAGGAGAAACTTTATATTTAACTGAAGAAACTATTTGACTTTTTGTTTTTAAGGTTAAAAATTTGAAGTAAAATTTCTGGAACCTGTGTGGTTTATGTTTTTTATATCATGGATGCTTTTTTAATGGACTTGCTTGTGTACTATTGTATATTTACTAAACCCATTTGAACTGCAGCTGTATTATACAAACATATTGTTGATTCTCATTATACCTTCTGCAGAGAATTACCCAAAATTGAGCAGAATTATCCTGAAACGTTTGTGGATACTTTTAAGGAAGGAGACGAAAAGAAAGTAATTGCTACTTGGAGAGGTCCTGATAATGCAACATAATTTGGGCTGGAAGAAAAACTGTAATTTAACAGTGTCATTTTTGAAAATGTAGTCTTAAATAGGTTAAGGCTCAATAAAAAATACTTCTAAATTAAAAAGAACGAGGAGGGAAAGATACCAATTAATAATGTTATGTATTGACTCTTTCATACCTGTAAAGGCCAGTAAAGTTATTGTTACAGCTACAATAGGAACTAGTAGGGCTCTATGAAGAAACTGTCATTTATCTTGTGACTTACCATAGAACATTTATAATAAGTGATAAGGCATAAAACGTCTTAAACCTCTTGAAAAGCTTAGAATTACCTTTTATTTTTAAACAGGCCTTTAACAAGTACAAAAGGGAAGGATTTTGTCTCCAGAATGTTGACAAGGCACCTCTTGCAAAAAGAAGGAAAATGAAAAAAACAAGTACAAGCACAGAGACACGTAGCAGCTCCAGTGAAAGTTCACATTCTTCTTCCTCTCATTCTCATGGTAAAACTACACCTACAAAGACATTGCAGCCCACAAACCCTGCAGACAGCAATAACCCGGAAACCATCTTCCAGTTCTCTGACTGAAAAGTGGAGAATATTCTCTCTTGAAGATTTAAGTGGTTATAAACTTGGTAGTACCTACATTTTCTCCTCCCACCCTTCCTCCCTGTGGCTTACAGGCTGCTACAGAACGTCCATTGCTTTAGAAATGTATTTCAGTCATACCTTTTTAGCTTTGTATTTCAATACATTTCTTTTTAGCATTAAGTTTGGTATCACTGGATATGGTATAATACTATTATACAAACAACATTCTTTTCTCTTAGGGCTAAATTACTAGTGTGCAGTCCAGCTCAAGGTAAGGAGCTATGCTGCTTGTGGTACAGCTTGGAAGAAGACCTTCTCAGTGTCAGAATCTTCCTCCCAGTTTTTTCCCCACTGTTCAAAGAAAGGAAAGCTCTGTAACATATATAGAACTTTTGGATCTTCTGCTTTTACTCAGCTCTGTGAACAATGTTATAGAATTTGATTCTTCATGCATGTAAAGAATCACTGGTACAATGCACCAAAGCAGTATAGTACTTTAAGACCTTTTAAATTTGTGATTACATTCTATCCCATTTCTTTGAATTTTAAGATCAAAATGAAGAGTTATGGAACTCTTTATTTTGTTTTAAAAAGTAACTCCACATATCTTATTCTAAACAACTGAGAATACAAGTCTTAGATTTTTTTTTTTAAAGTAATTTATTTTTTTAAATAAATCTAGGGTAAAAGATGTCTAATGTGAGATGTCTAGTACTGTGATACAATTTTTTTTTGGAAGTTATTAACTTCTAAAAGACTTTACAGATTCTAAAATATAATTCTATAAGAGAAAATTAAATTTCATATTCAATGCTTTGGAAAATGGTCACATGTTAAAATATCTATTTCAAGAATTAATTATAATTTATATTTTCTTTTTATATTTACACAATAACTTTAAAATATTAAGATTTTTTTAAAGATGCAAAAGCACCAGTTTCAACATCTGTTATTATAGGGTCCATACAAAATGCATACCAAGTTATTTGAATTTTGCATTGTGCAAATATGACAGTTTAATAGTAACTGTAAAATATTAGAATATATGTTTTATTTTTTGCACTTTATAACATCTAAAGGAGATGTTTTAGAATAAAGTGCACTCAGATCTCTTTTCCTACAAGGGTGCTGAGCACTGATTTACTGGGTTGAATGACCTGAAATCCACCATATTTGGTGGTTGTGGTCATTGTGAAGGAGAATTCTGTACTTTGCAGGAGTGAATCCCTGTATATTACCCACTGTTTTCATTCCTTACTTCAAAATGCAAAGCTCTTTCTATCTCGCTTTTACATTGTATATAACAAATACTAGACCTGGGCACCTTGTGTAGTGTAGATGTTAACAACTTATGCACTGGGAATACTAAAGGGAAATTATATTGAACACTGTGCTTCACAACTTGTTCACTGTGGTGTACTACAGTGAAGTATTTCCTACTGTGATAGTATAGTATGTACATAACTGTTTGGAATCATAAATGTGACTTACAGAAACATCAGCATAAACTTTTAAATCAGTATATTTTATAAATTTATGGAGAGCTCTTTTATAGCTTGTATTCTCAATGACCAGAAGTAACTTAAGTGCTAAAGATGACTTCAGTTTTGCAAATGCTTACATGTGTAAGTTTCCACTGAAGTCAGAGGGGCTCCTTGTCATATGCCTAAATTTCTGTAGCGGAAGACTAATTGACTAGAGGATTTTGTTAACAGCTGGCTCTATCTTTAAGTAACCTTAATCCAAACCCTATGCAAAAAAAAAAAAAAAGGTTATAGGAATTGTTTATATCAGTGGTTTTATTTATAGAATTGTATCAGATATCAGTATTGACAAATACAATACATCCATGTTTACAGGGATTGTGTGTATCAAAACAAGGCTTTGTAGCCCAACATGTTTGTTCTGTGTTTCTTTAATATTAATAATGGCATTCTGAAGTTTTGGAATTGCTCATGTGAAATAGTTTACTACTTTCTTGATGTGAATGTCAACAGTAATTGCAGCATTAATTTCAGGTTGATGTGAATATTGAGATTTGCACTGTTTATGTAGAAGTAGTATATTTAAAGATCAGTATATGTGCTAATAACACAACCAGTTTTAAATGGCCGATGTTAAAGTATTGAAAAATAATTGTCAATGTAATATATTCAGGTTTGCTTTCTGAATGCTCTCTTTGGAAGTAATCTCAATAGTGAACATGGCTCATTTGTAAAAGAGTACTTCCCCTCTCCCCAATAAACTTGCTGTAAATACAACAAACAATCCACCATTAATGCTTGTTATGCAGACAGCACAAGTGAATCGGGACATTGGAGAACAGGTTGTTTGTAAAGTTTGCACTTGGAGGAGTTCTTGGAATTTGTTTTCTTCAGGGTGAGGACAACAAAAAGCTGTCTTGGTTTTATTTCATTTAAATGTAAGAAACTTTCGGATACCAAATGGATTTGTAATATGGTAACACAGAAGTCCAGTATTGCATCAGAATGGATTGAGCCTTCAAACTTGCTCGGCCCTTTTCCATGGCTACTTTTCTGAACAAGATAATGATCCCTGCACAGCTGTGCTCCCTCTGTCATCTGAGAACAGAATAATTCCTGGCAGGAAATATTCATAGAATGATGATATATGTTTATTGGTTGTAATGAAGTGTTGCACAACCTACTTATATTTTTAATGTAAGCATGTATTATGTGCATGCATGTACGTACATGCTGTATTGCATGTCTAAGTCTCAATTTAAAGTCATATGCTTTGTTTGAGAGAACTTATATTTAAAAATGAGTTCTGGACTCACACAGAGTTGGAAGGCCAGACAATGGGGCTACCACAGAAGAGGAAGAATGTTACGGGAAATCAGAGGTGAGAGGCTTCTGGAAGGATGTTTTCAGAGGTAAATTTCTCCCCTGGCTATCTCAGTGTGCATGTAATAATCACTGACACTGAATTGCAAGCTTTATTGCCAGTTGTCCAGCATAAACACGTTTCCTAACTCTGCAGTCACTGAGTATGTGTGCGTGTCCACACACATGTGTATATCTTCATAACATTAGCTCATCATACTGAAATTTTTTGTTATTTCTAAAATGTCATTCCAGGTATTTTTACTAAGTTGATGGTCTTCATTCTTTGACTCATAAATAACAGTCTTTCTCAGTATCCAGTTTTTTACATTGTAGAACATGACATTGCCTTCCTTCAGCTGAAATAGTTGATGGAATATTCTGGATTGAAAGAACAAAAAATAACATGTCTGTTTCTGCTGTAGAGAGATAAAAGTGCTTTGATCTTTGTCTGCACTTTTCAGTTTGGTCTTTGACCCATAGGGCATTGGAGTCTATAAAAATATAAGAGGTGCAGAGCTGTTGACTAGCTCTCGCCTGCCATCCTGCATTTTTATATATTACTCATTGAGTAAATTCTGAATGCTCAGAACACCTATGTAGAAAAGAAAACTTAGACTGATTTCTGTGGTCTGCACTAGTAAATAAAGCAATGCTTTCAGTTCCATGGGCCAGCTGGAGCAGTCTTGTTTGTGGTGCCCAGAAGCTGCAAAACAGGAAAATGCAGGAGACCTGCAATAATGTAAATTTGAAAAAATTCGTATAGTTTGACAGCCTTCATGTTCTCTGTGTTAGAAATGGAGCCTGGGAAATAATTGTAAGTGTTTAGGTAGAGGAGATGTTATGGATTGGTCTGACTAATACTTTATTCAGCGGTAGAAAGCAATTCATGCTATGCACACATAAAATTCCTTTTAAATACTGGCAACCAATCTCCTTGTATTCACAAAATTTATGCAGAAGTCTGCTAACTTCCTTTGAAATGCCAGTAATAAAGGAAAAAAAACCCAGAACCCTTCTTTAATTTCTCAGAACTGCTAAAAACCTGAATCAAATGAAACTGCAAACTGATTGCAAATTTGTTGCCATTTTCTTAATAATGCAGAGGTATTTGTTGACAAATCTGGCATCAAGTCATAAAATTGGCATCTCATTTATGTTCATCTGATTTTTCTTGGGGCTTTTTTTTGGAAATATCTTGTCTTAGCATGAATGTGACTAAAGGTTTATTTTTTAAGTAGGAGAAAATCTTAGGATTTAGGGTTGAGCCTTGTGAATAACCAAAAGAAGTCTGCTTGGAAAGGTAACCAGTTCAAAATATAAATATATGTTACTGATATTTGGTGTTACATCTAATCTTATACATTTTATATAAGTTATGGGTGGGATTTTGTGTGACACATTCAGCTATGCTAAAAAAGTGTCCAAGTATAAAGTCTTTGGAGTTCATCAAAGTGAGAAGAGAGGAGGGAAGTTGTATTTAAAGACAATGGTGCAAAGAAGGAACACTGCCCAAGATTTGTCTCTCACTCATGTTGCCAGAGGTGACTAGGCAATACTGTCATTGTGCTGTCTGTAGTAGCTGACTCATTAGTAACAGTGCACTTGCTTTTTTTCCTTTCAAATCAATATACAGTACAGAAGAGAAACTAAATTAATTCACAAAAGCAGCAAATACTTCAAAGTTTTTCTCAGGTGTCTCCTTAATGAGTTTTCATCCTTTAAATAAATAACTCAGCTGTACATAATAGTTACTCTGTTGAAGCTATGCCTGCTTGAGGGAACAGGATCCCACTGGCTGGTGATATCTTCATTGTAGAGGGATGGTAGAAATTAGAGCTCAAGGTGCTATATCTCTGCTGCTTCTAAGTTCAAGTGTTAATACTGTTCTACTTAATATGTATCACCATGTCAGTCCCACTGGTGTGCAGTCATGACAGGTCACTTAGTTCAGTGTTAAAGCGGTCAGGTTAAAAGGAAAACTTGAGATCTGCTTCAACACCAAAGTGAGAACAGGCCTTTCATCCTAACCTACCTCTGGATGGCACAAATTAATAAAAACTTGGCATTGGCTTTCAACCTTGATAGTCTTATTAAGATGCTCTAGCAGCAAATTTTGATGCTTACAGATATCTTTACTGACCACTCTCACTAATAGGGGAAGAAACCTGCAAATTGTTTCTTGTCAGATAAAAATTTTTGCTGAAGTCCCAGTAGTATAGATCATCTCTAATTTCTACCTTTACCTTTGCAGCTGTGAAGGCAAAAATGAATTGGTGACAGATTTTGACAGCTGGTTATAAAGGAGCAGGCTGTGTTAATTTGCAGTAAGTGGAACGGGGTGTGCTATTACTTGTGTCAGTGTGGGCAGGGAATGAGGAGAGGGAAAGAAATGGAAGAAGGGAATGCTGAGTGCTTTGCCCCACTGTAATTTACAGGATATTCTGGTTGAATACCATTGCTTTTAAAGAAGCAATGGCCTCCACATTTAATTTAAACTCTTTTAGAATAAAAACCTCAGAGATTACGCTGACAACTTTTTTTCTTGGAAACTGTGTCATTTTCACATGCGAAGGTGGCAACACGGACATTGATTTCCTTAACTCACTGTATTCCAGTTATCAACAAATCACAGTGAAATTTGGTTTCTGACAAATACACACATCTCTGAAATGCTTTGTCACATCATCAAAGTGCAAAACCTTGTAGCAGGAGTTTACCAAAAAGCAATAGAAGTAATTGCAATGCTTTATGTTGCCTAATGTTCAGAAAATGAATGAGGATAGGGTTCTTCTGGAGCAAGTCTAGAGGAGGGCCATGAAGTTGATAAGAACACTGGAGCACCTCCCCTGTGAAGACACTCTCGAGGTGACATATTTGATAAACAGAATGAATAGTGTTAGAAATACAAAAGAGCAGTTTTAAAAGTTAAAAAATTAAAAAAAAATATTTGGAGTCGGGGGGAAGGCTGGCTAGAGATTATGAGGACAACCCAAAAGATACAAACTCAAATATTACTTTCAGACTTGGATCTAAATATACTCTGAACAAGATGCCAGATCTGGCTGGCTGATTTGTCTTTTAGGATTTGTAGTAGGGTCAGGTCAGCAGCATGCAGGAGAAATTGGCTTTGTCCTACAGATGTGGAATTTCAGATTTTGAAGAGCCTGTACTTGGATCCAGCAGGAGCATTAAGAGGCTGAAAGCTGGCAGTTATTCCCCGGAAGCTTTGTTTGTGAATCATGTTTGTGAACTGAGGATAGATAAAGTCCACAGAAGGATAGTTCACATCCATCTGTAGTCACAGCAACATTATTGCTTTCTACTTTAGTTTTTATCAAGCAGCTAAAAAAAGCACATGTTCTATTCTTACCTTGTCTGTGCCGATAGGCACAATGATCTCCAGGGCAGTGAAGTGAACTGGAAATTATCTGTTCTGTGGTTTCAGACAAATGCTAGACCTTTTGGAGGCTTCTTTTATCATGTTATTGTATTTTAAATGAACAGTATTTCCATCCTAATCTTTCCTCAAATACCAAATTGAACTTTTCATAGGAAAGAGCTGTGACATACCAGAGTATATGAAAAGGGAAAAAAAAAATGATTTCTAGAGAATCTTGGAAGACACAAACACAACAAGAACAAGTGTTAGGCAATAGAGTTCTGAAAGGTTGAGTAGAGCCAGATAAAGTAAGCTGTAGTGTATAAAGCCATCTGACTATTGTCCTCAGTAGTCTTCTTGGTGATGCCTGGTGTCTTGTAGGTAGCCACTGCAAGGGTTTTGGGGAGTTGTCTGTGATTTCCTATCTGACATTCTGTATCACATGTAAATCAGGGAGTCATCTGAGGAGCAAATAACTTGTGTTTGACTAATTCATGTTACCTGAAAAACATCCAGTCTTGTTTTGGATACATCAAGACTGGAAGAATGCACTGGCTCTTTGGTATTTAACCAAATACTAAATTATTGTCATAGCTTTTAAAAAGTCTGATTTCTTATATAAATTTATCTGGTAGAGGTCTCAACTTTGGGGTTTTCTCTAATTTTCTCTGTTACTGTATTTGTAAATGCTGTTTTCTTTACATGATATTTAATTTCCAAAACATAAGGCAAATGTTTTGTTCATTCTGCCAGTTATTACGGTAGAGAGAGACTGGTGACTGGGCATGTCTGTGAACTCATATTTGCTGTGCAGAAATAGCAGCTTGCACTCCTCTTACTGGGTCCACTTCTTAGTGCTTCTGACCAGGGGGAGTACAGGTGTCTTGTAATTTTCCCTGGCTAATTCTAGGAAGTCTCCTAAGGACCTTGCTTTTGGAACATCATAATGTAGCCTTGTATGCAAATTTCCTGATTTTTCTATTAGTGTCACATCAGGCTGGGCACGCTGCATTTTACCACTGTCCTCTACCTTCCTTTGGCATGAGCCCAGTGTCCTCAGGAAGCCCCTGGTGTTCCATGACCTGTTCAAAGGCACATGATGATGTGCTAATTCTGAATCTGTTGTTTTTTTTTAAAGACTTCTTTCCAGTTATTAACTTATTTGAAAAATCTATTTTAAATTATGATTTTCATTCTTTTCACACAGAACAAAAATAGCTGCTGAACACTCCTTTGTCTCTGTCACCGTTTTTCTTGCCTCTGATGATATTGCTGGAATTTCTTCATTATCCTTAGCAACTTCCTTACTCATTTGTCGTAGTACTCGCAGCATACAGTATTTTCTGTTGATGTTTTAAGCTACCTACAGTTTTAGAAACTTTCAGAAGTCATAAGTAGTTTTCGACTCCCTCTGGTGGTCTGGCAGTGGAGCTGGCAAGTAGTTTAACTGCTCATATTGACAGCAACAAGCAACATGTTTGAACACCGTATGACACTGTAGATGCTTCAGATATAACCATATTTGTTTGTCTCAGATATTTAAACAGCAGTGGAGAAAATACTGGTGTTTATTAATAAATGCAAATATTTTTATTACTAATGAGTAGCAAGGAATATTGGGGGGAAAAGAAGAAAAATTGGAAATTCAAAATTTTCATTCTATTTAAATTTATTTAAAGAGTTTGAGCTTTGGAACTGAAGAAGAGACGTAACTCTGCTGCACTCAATAAATTCAATGTGGGAAACACTTCATCTTTTAAGTGGTCACAGAAGTGCAGTTTGAAACAATTGTGTGACTTCTGTGTAGACAGGAACTGCTCTAAGTATGATTTTAACCAATAATGTAACAAAATCAAACAGTTGTTCTACAGAGAGTAGAGGTGCCACTATTGCTTTGCTAGATAAAGAAGCTATTCAGATCTACAAAGGTACATGCTTATTATGATGTAGTTTTCTCATTTCCTAACTTGTAATAGGTATGTTATTTTTACCCTTAAGAAATATTTAAAAATGGTACCTGGCTTACTTTCTGTGTTGAAAAG